GGAATAGGTTAGGGTTAGTTTGGGGGTTAGGGTTAGGGGATTAGGGTTAGGTTGGGGTTAGGGTTAGGGTTAGGGTTAGTTAGGGGTTAGGATTAGTTAGGGTTAGGGTTAGTTAGGGCTAAGGGGGATAGGGTTAGGGTTAGGGCTAGGATTAGGGTTAGGGTTAGGGGTTAGGGTTAGTTAGGGTTAGTTAGGGCTAGGGTTAGGGTTAGGGGCTAGGGTTAGGGGGTTAGGGCTAGGGTTAGGGGGTTAGGGTTAGGGTTAGGGTTAGCACTCCACTCAGTTGACCCATTTTGAACCTCATTTGCATAAAAAGTGCACTCAGTTGACCTCGCCATCTAGGAGGCTTATACTACTAACGAATTTGAAGAATACAAAGGGATTTGCACCGGAAATAACTTCAAAATTGATTAGAACAAACCTTTTTGAGGTTGTGTAGGCCTTTAAACCTAAAATGTAATCCAAATAAAGACGAAAATTTAACTGATTTTCACATTTTTTCTTGCTTCAAATTTACACGCCATGTTTGCATTTGGAACTCTCTGGATTGTTTGTAGTAAATGCACTGAGTACGAGTTATCGCCCGTGTTTCTTTGCTACATTGTGAATACACAGAACGGATTCTATCGTTAAATTGGGTCCGTAGGACAATTATCATTTTAACGATGGAACATTCTATTTAGGAACCAGATTATACTTGACGGTAGGGGACTAGTATTGTTTTGTTGTTTAATGCCCCATCGAGAATTTTCCACTCATATGGAGACGCCACGGCTTGCAGGTAGAGAGCTACAAATTTTGTCCTATGCTCGGCACTTAGGGCCATTGAGCAGTGAAGGATCTTTTTTGTGACAGCATCTACTGTGACAAGGGACCTTGATTTATACGGTCTCATCCAAAAGACTGGTCTCCACGTCCCACAGTGGAATCCTAACCCTAAAGATCAACTCTTTACGCCACGTTTCGAGTGCAGATGTGTTAGTACTGGTAATGCAATATTTTTTAAAATCATTATTTCATGAAGTTGGTTTAGAATAAAATAACAGGAAGTGTGACATTTAAGTTAGGCTCGGCCTCATAAATGAAACAACAAGAAAAGCTTTAAAACAGATAGAATTTATTTTTTAGGTCATATTAAGAGAACTGCGTACATCCTTTAGATCTTGCACAGCGGTGGGTATTAAATGTTTAACCACGTTATGGATCCTGACAATGCCGGCCTGTCCTCCTGAGGCTACCCAAACACAACTCTGGATGTTCGGATTCATCTCAATCTGAAACAGAAAGAACCAAACGAGCTTCGCTTAAAAAATTCTACTACATAAATCACAGGCACCTGAAGTGTAGATAATTACCCCCCCCCCCCCACTTTTCTTAATAAAAAAAAGTGTAAGAGTGTCTAATATCTCAAAAATATATAAATTTCCCGTCAAACACATCTGTATGTCGTTATTTGCAAGTAGATTGTACCTTTTCTCACGTTTAAAGAATGGCCCTATTCGGTATAATAAAAATACATCATACCGAATAGGGCCATTCTTTAAACGTGAGAAAAAGTACAATCTGCTTGCATATAACGACATATGATGTGTTTGACGGGGAAATTTTATATTTTTGAGATATTATACACTCTTATATTGTTTTTTACTTAAAAAAAAAGTGGGGGGTATTATCCATACTTCAGGTGCCTGTGCGTAAATTGTTTTGAAGGAACACCTGTTTTTTTTTTGTTTTTTTTTTCAAACAGCTATTTGTTATTTAAGACCCTTTAGTTTACCCTATATACGGCACGGAAAGCTAAGCTTCTGACGTCATCTGCAGTAACTGTGATCTTTGGCATTTTCTTTTTAGGCTGAAAGTAACAATACTAAATCATAAGGCTAAAAATTTTAATTATCAAAATCCTGTAATATCATTGGCACAATGTCATTTATTATATTAGTAGCATATTATCACTTAATTTTTAAAATCAAATCAGTGGAAAGGGATGGGCTGGGCATTAAATAACAAAGTATTTTCATGTACTAGTATGAATAAATTAAGGATTAGGAAAAGTTCTGATCAGGTTTCTTGACAAATAAAATAATAAATTAACTTTTACACCAAAGCATGCTTATAATGAAGTGCCAGGGACAAAAAAAAAATTGCGTAATATTTTTTTTATTAGATGCATTAAAAATATATTTAGATTGTATTTATATCAGGTTTCATATTTAGATATGGAGATGGGTGAACTTAGTGTGCAGAAAGACCACTAGCTTCAGACGTACAAAAATCATATTCAAATTGAATTTAGTATTTACAGTAAAGTTTTTATCATTGTTGTTTTTTATGAAATCTTGATAAACAAAAAGTTTTTAGGAAATTTTTTTAAATTAAAATTTATTCTTTTATAAAACAAGAGGCCCACGGGCCTTATAGGTCACCTGAGTATCGTGCAACAACTTTCAAACAATTAAAATTGGTTCGTGTTTTAAACCAGAGGCCATGAAATTCACAATTCACAATTTTGAAAGAGGCACCATATTGCTTATCATAATTATAAACTTAGCATGCTTACTCTATTTACCTAATACCCAGATGTAGATCAGAGTAACAAAGAGAAAATGCACTTCCATTTTATAACCAGTTGTGCACCTCATCCCAAAGGAACCACTGACCCTGGGGCCACATATTTCAAAATTTTGCAGGTTTTATCAAAATGGTTGATTAATACTAAAGAGCAGATTTCAAAGCATTAATTTATTTTCAGACTATGACCCCCCCCCCTCCCCCCTCCCGACCAGGGGGCATAAAAAATAACCATTTTACTAGATGCACCTTTCTTCATCATAAATATATATACTTGGATCATTGGCATAAACCCAGGAGCAAAGGAAAAGATTTTCAAAGAATTAATGGATTTTCACAATATAATCAATACAGCCCCACCCTAATACCAGAACCCCTGATCCTGGGGCCATAAAATCCACAATTTTGGAAGAGGCACTCTTTCTTATCATAACTATGAACTTAATTAGTTTATTTAATACCCAGAAGCAGAGAAAACGATTTTCAAAGAATTAATGCATTTCACTATCTGATCAATAGAGCCCCGCCCTAACAACAGAACCCATGACCCTGGGGCCACAAAATTCACAATTTTGGAAGAGGCACTCTTGCTCAACATAACTATGTGTTTAGTTAGTTCATTTAATACCCAGAAGCAGAGAAGAAGATTTTCAAAGAATAAATGCATTTTTACTATATGATCAATAGAGCCCCGCCCTAACACTAGAACCCCTGACCCTGGGGCCATAAAATTCACAATTTTGGTAGAGGTACTCTTGCTCAACATAACTATGTACTTAGTTAGTTTACTTAATACCCAACAGCAAAGAAGAAGATTTTCAAAGAAATAATGCATTTTCACTATATAATCTATTTAGCCCCACCCAAGCACTAGAACCCCTGACCCTGGGGCCATGAATTTCACAATTTTGGTAGAGGACTCAATGCTCATTACAATCATGCTGACAGTTTGACTGCTTGATGTTCAGGAGTAAAGAAGAAGATTTTTAAATATTTCATTTATTTTAGTGGTTTTGGTCCCACCCCTAAGGCCCCAGGGGGGTGGGGACCATAAAATACATAATTTTTGTTCCCCTTCACCCATAGATGCTGTATACCAAATTTGGTTGAAATTGGTTCTGAGGTTTCAGAGAAGAAGCTGAAAATGTTCAAATGTTAACACACGACACGATACACGACAATGGCCGAAAACGGATAGCTATAGGTCACCTGAGTGACTCAGGTGACCTAAAAAGAGGGATTCATATTTTAATGGTTTTGGCGCGGAAATCGATGCACTAATTCATGAATACCCGAAAGAAACCATTTATCAATACCATACACGGCATGGATATATGTAGTGCTAATTCATGATCACACCAACAACTCCATAACCAGTGCGTTAAATTTTGAATACAACAATTTTTGTACATGTACAGTATTTTTAGCAAGTAATGATTTCAGCAATCTTCATGATGCTCAGAAAGATAACGGTAACAATATGTGATAATAAGGACTCACGGCAAGTGATATTAACATTTGACACAGAAAATGATAGTGACCTTGAAGGCTCAGTTGCTAGCACTTTCTGTGTCTTTGGTCCATCTCACTTGAAATGAACTTGACAACTTTACTCACACCATCATGTGTCACATACAGTTGTTATTTACAAATTTAGTATACATTAAAGATGATCTGTGAATTCAGTATAATTTTGGCAGGGTCATTCTAGCACATAGTAATTTCAAAGATTTCATTAATAAAGTAATTCAGTGATGAAGCCCTTCAAAGTAAAAACCCAAACCTGTGATGGGTCATATTCTCTATATTCCAGGTATATCTTATTCCTTCCACTTTCATATGAATTAAAGACTGTTGAATCTACGTTTTTCTTCTTTCCTTTCTCTGTTTTAAAATGCTCCTTTGGTTCTGGGATGTGGGCTTCATCAAAATTCTTTTCCTGGATCTCTGTCTCAAATAAAGTCTGTAAAAGTCATAAAATAGAGGCTTAATGAGTACATGAGATCTCTGACAAGTAAAGCTAAAAATTATTGAGTACAATGTTCTCCTTGCCCTTTTGGCTCTGGCAGTCAATATTGTACTCTACAAATAGCTAAATCATCGACCTCAAAAGCAGCAATTGACAGTTTGAGGCTTTCAACTGGAAAAAGACCTCCTAATACCCAGATATTGATACATCATCTTCGCTAGCCAAGGATTTCTGATATGCTACTCATCTCATAAACCCTTGGCATAAGGTGAAGTCAAAAGACGGGATTGTTTTCGTCACGTGATGTCGAATCAATCAGGTACGCAAAGATTGCGTCATCGACAGAAATAAAGACGCGTGTTTAAAAAACTTAAAAGTTTTTTCAAAAATATTTAAGAAGCAATCATTGAGTTATGTTTATTTGTTATTTATAGTACAAATCAGAAGCTTCAATATAGATTCTTAAGCACATGTTTAGAAGATATTGAATGACACCATATCTATTCATAGAATTGCATGTTATCTTACGGATCGTTGTTTACTTGCGTTTTTCATTTCCTAGATTAAAGAGTGAAGAAGTATCCCGAACGCAAATATCATCATTTACGAAAACAATTGCTGATTGGTTGACCGGGTGTACCGAATCCCAATTAGAAGTCGAGAAAAAAAAAAAAACTTCTATCAACACTGTATGCCAAGGGTTCATGAGAAGAGTAGTGTATCAGAAACCCTAGGCTAGTGAAGATGTTGATACATGTACAAATAGAAACTGGACGTTGTAAAAAAAAAATCTCTTTTGTGTAATTATCAGGAATTTGCCTTACTTTCAGTTTTATAAAAGAATAAAAACTTCGAGTGCTGAGTGTCATGTCTCTCTGAGGTGACTCATAGTAGCACTTATCAATTTTACCTCCTATAGTCATTCCTGGTATTAAGTACAAGACTTTTACGAGAAGTGCTGACTTTTACAGTTGACGGCTTACTTGTACACTGGACAGTGTATGGAAGCTCTTTTATGATATTAATATATAGCTCAACATTTAATTCAATGAAAAAAAAACGGATTTTTTAAACGCACATAAATTTGTAAAAGTTGTTTTTGAAGGAAACGACAACCATCCTACCCTAAACTCCCGGCCTAAGTGCCCCTAACACTATACCTGTGACCATTTCAAAGGCTTTCTTATCCATTATCAAATCTGTACGTCCATATATGACACAGGTTTAAATGTCTAAGTTAACCGTCAACTGTAAAAAGTCAGTGCTTCTCGTAAAAGTCCATTTGTAAGTTCATTAAATTCTGATAGAAAACTGAACTGAATGAGTAATATACTTCCAGAGTATTCAATTTTTTTTGAGATGGCATTGATTCTAGTATGTACGGTATATATGAACCGGGCTAAAGAAAAGAAAACATAATTAAAGACCAAAATTATTCAATTTTTACCAAAGTTCTGCGATGAAAACGCTTGACTTCTTCCCTTTTTAGATGAGGCATAACAGATCCAATAACATTTCCTGTGTTGTTAGTTGCTAGAATAATCATAAGCCAGTTGGAACAAGTTAACCCCTAAAATTAAAAACATCTTAACATTAAAAGTATATTATTTACAGTTTAACCACAATATATACATCACAATGCTCATAAGTATTTATGCTGCCATATAAATTTACAAGAGACCTACTGGTCAGAACTCTCACTTTCCGTTCTTCATTATCAGATTTTTTTTATATGTCCTGTCCGTCCATCTGTCTGTCCATTTGTTGGCAAAAACTTTAACCTTGCCCATAACTTTTTAGTGGATGGGGCAATGGTTTTCATATTTCACAGGTATAAAACTATCAAGTGTGAAGCAATACTTACCCAAATACAGTCTGATAGAACCACCACAGGATCTGACAGTGGATTGTCATCATTAACAGTGTGGTCATAGGACTCCGATCTAACATACGTCTCCAGATTTCTAAAAATTTAAAAAAAAGCTTGTGGGTCAAAAAGCTCACCTGAGTATTAAACCTCTATCTGCTGTCATCAAGCTTAAGTCTATGATTTGAAAAGTTTAAAATTAAGAATAAAAGGGTGATGGCAAGTCTACAAACCTGGATTTCAGCTTTGTTGAAAGAATTTATGTTTCTGTGAAAAATGTTAACCCACTTTCACATATTAAGAGTGTATAAATTCCTCTATGCAGAACACTTAGCCAGCCTATATACATGTAGTGCCATGTAATCTTAGATATAAGTTTTATAATTCATAATTTCATTTCACTCGAAAAAAAAAAAATTCATATTTATACTTACGAATAACAATCATCCATTCCTTGAAGAACACAAAAATTAAATGGCAGCCAGTAAACTGATAAAGCCATCTGAGCTGGGGTCTTGAATATTGGGAAATGTCTGTTGTTGAGATCCCATATAACAAATGTCCGATCACGACTGGCGGAGGCGAATTTATCTGTCATGTGGGGCGACCATTTCAGTGACATGACACAATCAGTATGGGCGGCTGTACTGTGAAATGGGAGAAGTTTAATGGTGGGAGACACTGCCACCCTTAGGAGACTAGACTGGGATTTAAGATCCCAAACTCTGATTGAGCCTGCAAAGAATCACAAACATGTTCTTAGGTATCATTTTATTTATTTTTTACTTTAAATTTACAATGACACTACAAAGATACATAAAGAAAGAAGATGAGTACAAAATGTGTATAATGGATTTTTTTCTTGCCTACTCATTGAGTCTTTATACATCCATTCATGCTTAATAGAAGAAACTGAAGTATTAGAAAAAAGAGTAGAAATAAATTACACACAATCATTTGTTCACCATTTTAAAAACAATAATTCAAACAACAAGAGGCCCACGGGCCTTATAGGTCACCTGAGTATTGTGCAACAACTTCAAACAATTCAATTTGGTTCGTGTTTTAAACCAGAGGCCATGAAATTCACAATTCACAATTTTGAAAGAGGCACCATTGCTTATCATAATTATAGACTTAGCATGCTTACTCTATTTACTTAATACCCAGAGGTAGATCAGAGTAACATTAAGAGAAAATGCACTTCCACTTTATAACCAGTTGTGCACCTCATCCCAAAGAAACCACTGAACCTGGGGCCACATATTTCAAAATTTTGCAAATTTTATCATAAAATGGTTGATTAATACCAAAGTGCAGATTTCAAAGCATTAATTTATTTTCAGACTTTGTACACCCCCCCCTCACCCCCGACCAGGGAGGGGGGCATAAAAAATAACCATTTTGCTAGATGCACCTTTCTTCATCATAAATATATATACTTGGATCATTGGCATAAAACCCAGGAGCAAAGGAAAGATTTTCAAAGAATTAATGTATTTTAACTATATAATCAATAGAGCCCCGCCCTAACACCAGAACCCCTGACCCTAGGGCCATAAAATTCACAATTTTGGAAGAGGCACTCTTGATCAACATAACTATTTACTTACGTAGTTTATTTAATACCCAGACACAGGGAAGAAGATTTTCAAAGAATTAATGCATTTTTACTATATGATCAATAGAGCCCCGCCCTAACACCAGAACCCCTGACCCTGGGGCCCTAAAATTCACAATTTTGGCAGAGGCACTCTTGCTCATCATAACTATGTGCTTGGTTAGTTTATTTAATACCCAAAAGCAGAGAAGAAGATTTTCAAAGAATTCATGCATTTTCACTATATAATCAATAGGGCCCCACCCTAACACCTGAGAACCCCTGACCCTGGGGCCACAAAATTCACAATTTTGAAAGAGGCACTCTTGCTCATCATAACTATTTACTTACATAGTTTATTTAATACCCAGGAGCAGAGAAGAAGATTTTCAAAGAAATAATGCATTTTCACTATATAACCAATAGAGCCCCGCCCTAACACCAGAACCCCTGACCCTGGGGCCATAAAATTCACAATTTTGAAAGAGGCACTCTTGCTCATCATAACTAAGTGCTTGGTTCGTTTATTTAATACCCAGGAGCAGAGAAGAAGATTTTCAAAGAAATCATGCATTTTCACTGTATGATCAATAGGGCCCCGCCCTAGCACTAGAACCCCTGACCCTGGGGCCATGAATTTCACAATTTTGGTAGAGGACTCAATGCTCATTACATTCATGCCAACAGTTTGCCTGCTTGATGTCCAGGAGTAAAGAAGAAGATTTTTAAAGATTGCAATAATTTTAGTGGTTTTGGCCCCACCCCTCAGGCCCCAGGGGGGCAGGGACCATAAAATTCATAATTTTTGTTCCCCTTCACCCATAGATGCTTTGTGCCAAAATTGGCTGAAATTGGTTGAGCGGTTTCAGAGAAGAAGCTGAAAATGTTCAAATGTTAACACACGACGCACGGCGACAGATGAAAACGGATAGCAATAGGTCACCTGAGTTACTCAGGTGACCTAATAAATCTGGGATGTTATGTGCAAACTTAAGTTATAATTGACCTGTATATTGGCTCTTGAAAGAAGTCAACAATGTAAAAAGTTTGAAGACAGGTGTGCTACAGACAGGTGTCTGCCGAATAATGGGTATCAGAAAAGCTCTGTTGAGCTTTTATCTAGTGAAAGCACAAATATTCGTGGGGGATTAAATTTCGTTTATTTCGTTGTTAACAATATTCAACGAAATTAAATCCAACACGAAATTTTATATGACTACATATTGAATAGGGTTAACTTTTAAAACAATGAAATTAAATGCCCACGAAACATTTTTTGATGACAAAACAACGAAATTTTATGCCCACGAAAATTTGTGCTTCTACAGTAATCAAACAACATTGACTATGAAATTATTAAAATTTGTGGAGGCCAATTTTCGTGGATTGCTAAGCTTTTACAGGTTTGTTGTACATTATTTCATATTTTCTCATAAATGTAAAAGGAAATATGACCTAAGAACCTTATATTTTAAGTCTTGGAGGATGCTGATTCGTGAATGAGAGGTATTCATAAATTCAATGAAAATAGAACCCATATGAAAACTAATGACTCCACAGTAAATGATAAATATTTGATCACAGAATCTCATGTTAAGCATTTGAGCCTTGGCTTGAAATAAATTTAGCTACAGAACATTTAAACAAGAGGCCCAGGGGCCACAGCGCTCACCTGAGCACATCGGGCTTGAATTTACTCCCCCCCCCCCTACTTCCAGGCGTTCATCATTTGACCATACTAGAATCTAAACTACCTGAGGATGATTCCATATAAATACCCCGAGTATCACTAATCATAGCTTTGAAGTACTTGAAAAGAAGATTTTAAAAGGTTTCCCTATATATCCGTATGTAAAACTTGGGTCGGCCATTTTGGCCCCACCCTATCCCCAGGGCCGTGGGTCATGATTTGAAAAAACTTGAATCTACACTACCTGAGGATGATTCCACATGAGTTTCATCTTCCCTGGCCCAGTGGTAATTGAGAAGGAATTTTAAAAATATTTCCCATATATTCCTATGTAAAACTTGGGTCAGCCATTTTGGCCCCATCCTTGCCCCGGGGGTCATGATTTGAACAAACTTGAATCTACACTACCTAAGGATGATTCCACATGAGTTTCATCTTTCATGGCCCAGTGGTTCTGGAGAAGGAGATTTTTAAAGATTTTTTTTATATATTCCTATGTAAAACTAGGGTCAGCCATTTTGGCCCCATCCTTGCCCCTGGGGTCATGATTTGAACAAATTTGAATCTACACTACCTGAGGATGATTCCACATGAGTTTCATCTTTCCTGGCCCAGTGGTTCTGGAGAAGAAGATTTTTAAAGATTTTTACTACATATTCCTATGTAAAACTTGGGTCGGCCATTTTGGCCCTACCCTATCCCCAGGGCCGGGGATCATGATTTGAACAAACTTGAATCTACACTACCTGAGGATGATTCCACATGAGTTTCATCTTTCCTGGCCCAGTGGTTCTGGAGGAGAAGATTTTTAAAGATTTTTCCTATATATTCCTATGAAAAACTTGGGTCGGCCATTTTGGCCCCATCCTTGCCCCAGGGGTCATGATTTGAACAAACTTGAATCTACACTACCTGAAGATGTTTCCACATTAGTTTAATCTTTCCTGTCCTAGTGGTTCTTGAGAAGAAGATTTTTAAAGATTTTTCTTATATATTCCTATGTAAAACTTGGGTCGGCCATTTTGGCCCCATCTTTGCCCGGGGGTCATGATTTGAACAAACTTGAATCTACACTACCTGAGGATGCTTCCACATGAGTTTCATCTTTCCTGGCCCAGTGGTTCTGGAGAAGAAAATTTTTAAAGATTTTTCTTATATATTCCTATGTAAAACTTGGGTCGGCCATTTTGGCCCCACCCTTGCCCCGGGGGTCATGATTTGAACAAACTTTAATCTACACTACCTGAGGATGCTTCCACATGAGTTTCATCTTTCCTAGCCCAGTGGTTCTGGAGAAGAAGATTTTTAAAGATTTTTCCTATATATTCCTATGTAAAACTAGGGTCGGCCATTTTGGCCCCACCCTTGCCCCGGGGTCATGATTTGAACAAAATTGAATCTACACTACCTGAGGATGCTTCCACATGAGTTTCATCTTTCCTGGCCCAGCGGTTCTGGAGAAGAAGATTTTTTAAAAATGCCATTAATTTTTAACAAATTCATGATTATCTCCCCTTGGAAAAGGGCGTGGCCCTTCATTTGAACAAACTTGAATCCCCTTCACCCAAGGATACTTTGTGCCAAGTTTGGTTGAAATTGGCCCAGTGGTTCTTGAGAAGAAGATGAAAATGTGAAAAGTTTACGACGACAACAACGACAACGACGACAGACAACGGACAAATTTTGATCAGAAAAGCTCACTTGAGCCTTTGGCTCAGGTGAGCTAAAAAGTAAACAATCACTTAAAGACAAATCTGACAAGAAGACACCTATCATGTGTTGAGGAAAATCAAATACTTACCTTCGCCATAGCCAGCTGCCAAGAACTGACAAGACTTTGGCTGCCAGTCAATACACAGGCATGGGGAGGCCTTTTCTGTGACAGAAAGATCTAACATAAAGTGATTGTCAATTCGAACATGACATAGAAAAACTGATAGAAAAAAGCGTTTTATAAAATTCTGTTAAAATAAGTATGATGAAATCTTTTTTGGTGAAACAAACAAACTGTTAAAGATTTACCATGTTTAGATACAGGATAAGGAAGAAGAGTAAATACTGGCTCTGGTTTGAAGACGGCCGGCTCATTGCCGTGGTTTTCTAAATTTAAACTGTCTGGTTGAGGTATACTGTAGAGAAAACAAAGACGTTATGCAATGTTACAAATAAATTATAATGATACATTTATCTTAAAACATGGTGAGGAATCCAAATGAAAAAATCATAGGGATCCAGTCATAAAATTTAATTCAAATGCTAATTAAGGGATCATTTTGAGATACATGTACCATATAAGCGAAATTTTTTTAGCGATTTGCCCTTAAAAAATTTTATTTCTAGCAAGATGTAATTTTAGCGATTTTAAAAAGCTCACTAAAGAAGCTATTACAAACAAGAGGCCCACGGGCCTTATAGGTCACCTGAGTATCATGTAACAACTTTCCAGCGATTGTATTTGGTTCGTGTTTTAATCCAAAAGCCATGAAATTCACAAATTTTGAAAGAGGCACCATTGCTTATCAAAGGGCAGATTTCAAAGCATTAATTTATTTTTAGTCAAAGTACCCCCATGGTACCCCTGACCAGTGGCCCTGAATTTATCGATTTTGAAAGAGGCCCCTCCCTTCATTAGAAGGCCAGCATTTTTTTTATCTTTAGGTTTAGTTATGAACATAAGAATAAAAAAATCCTGAAGGAGAAGGAAATAAAAAAAAATTTTGATAAATCAATTATAACAATTTGTACATTCTTTTTTTTTATGCTATTCTAATAGGCTCCTTACCACTGGACACATAATACTTACAAATAGGAAAGTAGAACATTTAATTGCTTATTTCATCATCCGCCAGTTTGGGCCAGTTATATAAATTTTGTGATGTTGGTCAAAATATATTTTAAAAAATCAATTCTTTAAAAGTCTTTCAATATATCTTCATTTTTTTAATATGTGTTAGGTGAATGTGTAGACATTGTTCTAAAATTTACTTGATGCCTAAAATTATAATTCCTATCATAAAACAGACAGGGAGTATTGGGGAGTAGGGTGAATATTTTTTCAATTAAGTGTAAAATAATTTCTCTGGCTGATACAAATGATACTACATGCCTGTATATATTTGTATATTCTTGCCTTTTAATAGTTAATTTTTTTTATTTCTTCAGGTTATTGTTCATTTCTTCCTCAAATGGACTTAACTTCTCCCATAGTTTTATTCATTACATCTGATGCATAAGCAACCCTTATCTGAAGAAAGATGCTTAGACTGTAAGCTATAACAGAGACCTAAACAATGTCGCTGGCAATATGCAATAGCTACCACGTTCGGGCAGTTTAAAACCTGGGGGAGGAAAATAATTCACAGACAGATATAGATACTTTTGAAATGAATACATAATTATCTCACCAGCAAGTCATTGTGCAACAAAGTCGTCAGCATTTTATTTGTCCTTTGAACAGGTGAAACGTTTTGAATGGCACTCGTATCGATGAATTTTACACTAAACCAAGAAAGCTTTATTTACCCGCCGTTTCATCTTAAAACCGGAAGTGCGAGTTCGTAAATTTGAAATCTCGATCCCGACTCATATTTGACCATCGGGGAAAAAAATGTTTTATTTTTGTTCTGAAAATTCAAAACCTTGAGCGGAGGATTTGTACAACTGAAAATAAAATAAATCCTGGCCTTAAATATATTAGCATATTAGCCAGGAGCAAAGGATAAGATGTTCAAAGAATTCATGCAATTCACTATATAATCATTAGAGCCCCACCCTAAAACAAGAACCCCTGACCCTGGGGCCATAAAATTCACAATTTTGGTAGAGGCACTCTTGCTTATCATAACTATGTACTTAGTTAGTTTATTTAATACCCAGGAGCAGATAGGAAGATTTTCAAAGAAATAATGTATTTTCACTATATAATCAATAGAGCCCCACCCTAACACCAGAACCCCTGACCCTGGGGCCATAAAATTCACAATTTTGGTAGAGGCACTCTTGCTCATCATTACTATGTACTTTGTTGGTTTATTTAATACCCAGGAGCAGAGAAGAAGATTTTCAAAGAAATAATGCATTTTCACTACCTACTTATTTAGCCCTGCCCTAGCACTAGAACCCCTGACCCCAGGGCCATGAATTTCAAAATTTTGGTAGAGGACTCATTGCTGATTACAATCATGCAAACAGTTTGATTGCTTGATGTCCAGGAGTAAAGAAGAAGATTTTTAAAGATTGCATTAATTTTAGTGGTTTTGGCCCCACCCCTCAGGCCCCAGGGGGGCAGGGATCATGAAATTCACAATTTTTGTTCCCCTTCACCCACAGATGCTTTGTGCCAAATTTGGTTGAAATTGGTTAAGTGGTTGCAGAGAAGAAGCTGAAAATGTTCAAATGTTAACGCACGACGAACGACGAACGACGCACGACGAACGACGACGGACAAAAACAGATAGCAATAGGTCACCTGAGTTTACTCAGGTGACCTAATAAAGTGCAATTAATTTTTAGCGATATTTAATTTTAGCGATCTAGGCACCCTCGCTAATAATGCCAAAATTAAATCCTTGCTAAAAATTCTGCCTAAACTGTACATGTATATCATCTATTTTTGTCCCCCGCTTGAAAAGTGGGGGATATTAATTTGGGTTTGTCCGTCCGTCTGTCCGCCCGTCCATCTTTCTGCCTGTCTGTAACGCTTTCGTTTCCACACAATATCTCGAGAACCCTTTGAGCTTTTGCAATGAAATTTTGCATAGCAAATCTCTATGGACTAAAGAAGACCCCTATTGATTTTGAGGTCAAAAGATCAAAGGTCAAGGTCATAAATTTGCAAATTCTCTTTGTTATAACACTTTTGTTTCCACGCGATATCTTAAGAACCCTTTGAGCTTTTGCAATGAAATTTTACGTAACAACTCCCTGTGGCTTAAGGAAGACCCCTATTGATTGAGGTCAAAAGGTCAAACTTCAGGGTCATAAATGTATACATTCTGTTTGTGTGTAACACTATCGTTTTCGGGCGATATTTCAAGAGGATTTTGAGCTTTTGCAATGTAATTTTATACCAAAAGTCCCTAGACCCTCTCTCACCCCTCTCAAGGTGTCCCGCCCCGTTTGTTTTATTAGTATTTATTGTATTACATGTCGCTATTTTTAGCACAGGGGCATGAAGGAGAGTTATTACGTATAAAACAGGTTCTCGGCGGACTTTATATTCTTATTACATCTATTAAAACTGTTTAATAAGGTTAAATTAGACACCATGCATTGTGTAAAATTTTGACAATATATCAAACGTGAATATTTGTGACTTAATGTTTGTATATAATTTTCGCCATGTGAAAGCGGCTACGTGGTCTAGTGATATGTCTCTCGCTTCAGATGTGAGAGGGCCAGGGTTCGCATCCCGGAAATCCATTTTTTTTTTCAAAATACTTTAATTTTGTTTTACTAAATGATAGTATTCAGTATGTGAAATGAAAAATTTATGAGGTCTGGCTTGTACAAACTCATAAAATTATCATTACAGTGTGATAAATGTTCCATATAAAAAGAATCTTCTACACACATAATAAAGAATAATCAATCAAACCTTTATATCCATATTGGCATATTTTATTTGCTTCAATATACATTTAATAATTCTACAAGTTCAGTGAAGGGGATCCGACCCCCCCCCTCCCCCCGAACTGCGCATGGTTTACTTTTTCCCTAGTAAGCAGGGGGCACAAATTCTCTGAATTAGCTTGTTAATTACTGTATTATGATGGACAGGCAAATTGAAAAAAAAAATTAAAAAATTAAAAATTCCCTTCTTCTTATACATATTGTGGTGCGATAGATCATGTGATAGATGCGGTGATCAGAAAAGCTCACTTGAACTTCAAATCAGGTGAGCTAAAAAGATCTTAAACTTTGACTTTTTAACTGCCCTGTATAATTACACCCAAAATATAATTGTCTTTTTGGGGTATGAAAATGCCCCCCCCCTCCCTCCCTCCCCATTAAATTGAAATGGAAAGAATTACTACCAGGTAAATGATTTTCAGAAATCTAATCTAACAGACAACAAAGATAATAATTGTTTATAAAACAAAGGTAATCTGGTTACACTTCTGAAAAATGTAGGTCAGATAGTACCTGAAGCAAGTGTGGCTTGTGTCTAACCCTAGATACATTTATTGTCCACTGAAGCTTGGTCCAGGCAGGGTTTATATGGTAGTTACTTGGAAACGGACCTGCTCCAAAATATGTCACCTGGTCACATCCAGCATCCAAAGTAATGTAATGTCTATCCCAAGATGCATCATACATGAAAGTTTAGATCCAGTATCCCGAGCAAGTGTTGTAGCTTACTACTTTTGATGCATGCAAGTTTGTTCCAGATAGGGCTTTTTATTTCTTGGGAATGGACTTACTCCAAAACTTTAATTTGGTCACTCATCTGGAAAATGTATGTCAAATCCTGCATTGGAAGCAAGTCTGGTACTCCCCTTCCTAAATGCATTATCCATGCAGATTTGATTCAGGCAGAGTTTATAGTAATTTACGAATGGGCCTGCATCAAAAATTTTATCCAGGTCATTCATCAGGGGAATGTAGCTCAGACCATCTGAAACAAATCTGGTAGTGTCCATCCCTCGATGAACCATCCATGCAAGTTTACCATAAGTCCAGGAAAGGCTAATAGATTTTTTGGAATTGATCTTGTCAATTATCTTGAAAAAGTTGATCAAATCCAGCATCAAAGCAAATCTGGTAGTGTCCATTCCTAGATGCATTATCTATGCAAGTTTGGTACAGGTAGGGCTTCGAGTTTTTTGGATATATGAACTTTATCAGAGACACGAAAGCTAATACGCCTACACCAATAGCATGAGCTGAGAATTTGATTTGACAGATATATGCTAAATATGCTGACATTAACCAAAAAGTGTTAATTTAACCAAACAGTGTTAATTAAATATTTTTTTATTAAATGTTATGTCAGACATGGCGAAAATGCCTTTTAATTTATTAATCATTACTGCAATTTACAGCAAAATTAAGTCTTACATTAAATGAACATTCTGGTAAATTTTTTAAAGTGCATCTGGAAATGAAGTTTGGTCTTAATTAAGGACCAATATAGTTTATTTTATCTGCTCAAAAAACCTTAATAAAATACACCATACAGAAAAACATCTTATAGCCAACATGCTTATAATGAATTGACAATAAAAGTGATTTTCATTTGCTGTGGGTTTTAAACATATATTGTGAAGCTAACAGAAATAATCAGTTATGTTTATAATGAAGCAAATTTGCCCTTCCCTGGCACTTCGTTATATGCCTGTTTCACTGCATGACATATGTCTGGCAATGAGTAATGTTGGATGATCATCCATGCAATTTTGGTTAAAGGTAAGGGTTTATAGTTTGTTTCAAAACCTTTCACCTGGTCACTCATCTGGCCTCAATACAATAAACTGAGAACAGACAAGCCAAAATATTTATTTTTAATATCTAAGTGTTTGTGGGTAGGCAAAATTTTGTTGTTTCATGGGGACATAATTTGGTCAGAATCTCATATGTTCAGATGATTCAATAAACAAACATAATGTCTAACCACATACTTGTTCATGGGTAAGTAAATCAGTAGATAAGGGATGAGCACTGATGATTCCACAATACACTTTAACACTGCCAAAGTTAACACTAACCAAATTTATTTATTTTCATTTTTTCTATGTATTAGAACCTCAAATATTCCCCCCGCAAATCATCTGGATTTATGCAGCATTAAGGTTCATAAACCCTCTGCTTTATCATATGAAATGTTGCTTTTAACTTAATGATTTTCCAAAAGAAATATATTTTACAAGTAAAATAGAGACAATTATAGCATAGCTTGCGGGTCAAAATTGGACAAAAAAGACACTTCAACTTGGAAAATCTGTAAAGCAATAATAGTCATTTACGTCATTAAGAGTTATAAAATATGAAGAAAACAAGAAGCCCATGGGCCTTATAGGTCACATGAGTATCATGTAACAACTTTCCAACAATTGAATTTGGTATGTGTTTTAACCAAAAGCAATGAAATTCACAATTTTGAATGAGGCACCATTGTTTATCATAATCATACACTAAGCATGCTTACTTTGGTTACTTAATACTTAGAGTAAGATCAGAGTGACATAGAGAAAATGCATATTCACTTTATAACCAATTGTCCACCCCACAGGAACCACTAAATATGAGGCCACATATTTCAAAATTTAGGAAATTTAATCATAAATTTTATTTTATCATGAATGGTTGATTGATAACAAAGAGCAGATTTCAAAGCATTAATTTATTTTCAGACTACCCCCTCCTCGGTACCCCTGACCCAGGGGCCCTGAAGTTAATCATTTAGCAAGAGGCACCTTTCTTAATTATAAATATGTGCTTAGATCACTGGCATAAAAGCCAGGAGCTAAGGAAAAGATTTTCAAAGAATTCACTACCCTGACCCAGGGGCCATGAAATTCACAATTTTGGAAGAGGCATTCTCGCTCATCATATCTTTATACTTAGTTTATTTCATACCCAGGTGCAGAGAAGAAGATTTTCAAGAAAAACGCGCATTTTCAATACATAATCTATATAGCCCCACCCTAGCACAAGAACCCCTGACCCTGGGGCCATGAATTTCACAATTTTGGTAGAGGACTCAATACTGATTACAATCATGCCAACAGTTTGACTGCTTGATTTCAAGGAGTAAAGAAGAAGATTTTTAAAGATGACATTAATTTAAGTGGTCTTGGCCCTGCCCCTTAGACCCCAAGGGGAAGGGACCATGAAATTTATCATTTTTGTTCCCATTCACCCATAACTGCTTTGTGCCAAAATTGGTTAAAATTGGTTGAGCGGTTACAGAGAAGAAGCTGAAAATGTTCAAATGTTAACGCACGTCGCACAATGGACGACGACAGACGAAAACAGATAGCAATAGGTCACCTGAGTTTACTTAGGTGACCTAAAAAAACACCACTTGATAATATACCGGTATTTAGCATGCCCAGTTTAGTGGTGAGAGAGAGGGAAATATCACCTGTATATGTGAACATTTCCATCAGAGAAGGCTCCTGCTAACAGCCCAAGTCTTGGTAAGTGCAGGGATGGCTACAAATAAAATAAACTTTAATCTTCATTTCAGTGAATAATTGAAAAATGACATCAAATTGTCAATACGACCTCATTACTAATTGTGGAGAGTCCTATCACGTTGCGTAGACAGGCATATCATCTAGTCAAACGATATGTGAAGGAGATGTGATATGGCTCTTAATTTGGATCAAGTTACTGTAAGTTATAATAATAAAATTATTTTAACACCCCCCCCCCTTTACAACTAGCAAAATATAGTAAAACAAACCATTTGAGATCAATTATATAATATTTTTCCATTAATTTAAAAAAAGCATATACAGTATAATCCCTATTGACCGCCCCTGCCCCTATAAGCGCCCCCTTAGGTCTTTTTCAATTTTCAGGAAATGTGTAAGGGCCCCCTGTACAGTGATTGAAATCATATACAACTGTATCAAAAGTCTGCCAAATTTTGAAGAAACTGAAAATGAAACTTGTCTATAATCCAATTTCTCGGTGGAAAATCAATCTTTTATCTTAATTTGGATGGATTATCTTCAATTAAAGTTTTTTCGAAGATTTTTTGAAGTTAAAATATGACATTAAATATTGTATATAGAAAAATAAAATAACCGCCCCCCTTTTGCAATTTTCTAAGTACCCGGGGCGGTTAATAGGAATTATACGGTAAATGTCAAGGTACTTTTTGATGCTCAAGAAAATAATGTCATGTTTCTGTGTACTAATTGTAAGTCATCAATATCAGAGAGTGGTGATAAGGATTCAGAAAATCTGTGTGGCGATCCAGAATGGTTATCAAATAAAATCAACTGTTACCGTAACATTGAGTGATATTCAATAGGGTATATAATAAAGTACAGTCAGTGCTAGCTGAGTCTGACCCGTACTGAACTAAAGATCAAAACTCTAACAGTACAAATGTCAGAGGTCAAATGTCAGAGGTGAATCTAGCCCTTTACTGGACTTACGAAACAAAACTCTGACAGTTAAAATGTCAGAGGTGAATCTGAACCCTTACTGGACTAAAAAACCAAACCTCTGATAGTTCAAATCAACAAGAAGAGGCCCATCCCCTGCGAAATGATATTCATGATTTTAAGAACCTTTATGAGTTGTTCATAATTGTTCATGAATGGTTCTTAAAGGATTCTTAATAGGTTCATAAAAGTAGTTCATGAATAAAATTCATGAAAACATTCACAATTCATAGTTCATGAACAAATGATGAACAAATATGAATATTGGTAATTTTCAGTTTAAAGAAAAAACTTAGTAGTTCAAGGTAATGAATGTTCATGAATTTTCATGAAGACTAAAAATGTAAAAATAATTGTCACAAACGATCGCCAGAAAACTCTCATTACTCCCATAATACAACTTTTGCATGCAGATGCAATTGTTGAACAAGCCCCTGATTTAATTAATAACATGCTTTTGTTTTGATTTTGAAAGTATGGGATCAGAGCCGAGTAGGGGAACATAAGAGGTTAAAATCACTATTTTCTACTCTATGTAATTGATAACTTAGATTCTTCAGGATAATAAAACTCTGTTATGAACTGTCTAGAAGGGAGATTATAATTAAATTATGATCGTAATTTAAAGAAAACTGCATCAATATTGACAGCATTTTATTCTCATATTGAATTACTAATGTTTCTTCATCATTTAAATTGGCCAACTATATTAATATTGTGCTTTAAATCATCTCATTTTTCACGACACAACCTTGTTCGACCGAATTTTCTCTATTTGTCAAACTTTTAACAAGTTGTAAGAAAATGAAACAGACTTACAGTCTAGGAAAAATTTTATAATCTTCGTAAAAACGTATCATAAATTTATTGACAACTAAAAAATTACATCTCTTGTCCGTACTGTACTGTACCATTCTTGGGTCGAAAAGCTTTATATTTTGATGCTGTTATAAAGTCACATTTTTCTGTCCATCGCGTGTAAATGATACAGCACAGGCTGCATGGTTGTGAAGAAGCTATGACATGAACCACATTCGTATTTTGTAGTCTATTCTCCTATACACTTTCATAGCTCAGGGTACTCAGTTTGAGGGAGAGTGGTAATCCAAGAGATATTTGTTGTCCTCTGATATGGAGGCGGCCATACTTGAATACGAAACTATGGCTCTACAGGTATAATGTAAAAAAAAAATCAAATTCAATAAATGATATAACTTATATTAATTAAAAAAATTAATTTCAGTGAAAAATCATTCAGATAGTGTTTGTTATTTTTTGTTTAACTAAAATCTTGTCAATTCGAAACTATTTCTTAATTAGCTCTGCATGACACTTTTTAAAAGGCGCAATCTTTGAAACGCGCGAGACGTTGGAAAGTGAATCGGTAGAGTGGGAGGATTATTAGCGTAGTCATTCTTTGTCAACCTTTGAAGAAAATAACAGAATACGAAGAAGGAATATCCAGAGGATCAATTTAATTTATTTGTCAAGATGTTACTGGCTATTTGTAAGAGTTCAGTTATGTCCTTTTATAATGAAAATTTTGTCAAACTGTGTTATGAGTAAGGATCCAAGCAAATTACGTTACATATAATAGTTAAAGATTGAAAAATTCATCTTGTTCACCTATAACATCTTGAACATGGCGGGCAAGGGAAACACTAGATAGAATGTTCTATCGTTAAAATGATATTGTCCTACGGACCCGGTTTAACGATAGAATTCGTTCCGTGTATTCGTAATGTAGCAGAAAGAAACACGGGCGATAACTCGCATAGTGCATTTACTAGGAACAATCTAGAGAGTTCCGAATGTAGTAATTTGAATCGAGAGAAAAACGTTGAGAAAATTAATTGGATTTTCGTATTTATATGGATTATTTTATGGGATAAAAGGCATAAGCAATCTCAAAAAGGTTTGTTTTGATTATTTTGGTAGTTATTCCCAGTGCAAATCATTTTATATTCTTCAAAATCGTTTCGGAGCGGATCCGCTCCGATTTGCTACATTGCAAGTATATGGGACGTATTCTAACTGTGGTGAGGGCCTGTACCGAGACACAGTTAGATTATTCTAACTAGGGAAACACAGGCTAAACTCCCGCTCGGAATGCTTTAAAATATGGCAGTGCCTATGATGCAGAATTAAATGAAACAAATATGCAAGTCTTAAGTTTTCACATTTATGAGCATTTTCAGAAAATCTTTGTTCTTGTAGGGAAAAGAGAAGCAGTTCACAGATAATGTTGATGAGTTGAGATCAGAAGATTAAAAAACTCTGGCTGCCAAAAAAAATATATATATATAAAAAATCCAGGCTCTTGAAGAAAAACAAAAGAAAGGAATGAAAATATGAATCGTAATCGATCAAAGGATCCAAGTGATGAAATTCTGAAAATTCCACAGGGAAAGCCAATAAGATTTTTTCATTTGACCACCTCTGCTCAAAATCCTTGAAAGCCCTTTTAGCTGATGCCCTAATTGCTGAACACACTTTTCTGCCAGGCAGTGAGACTTGGATTAAAAATCGTTCCATTTTAGGCATACACTTTGAAATACGCTGAATAAGGAACCCACTCTCCTCTTGACCAAGTAAGGTTAAGGATTCTGCAAAGAGTCGCGTTTGAATTGAAATTTTTCATAATTTATCAGGAATGAACTACATAATTTATTTATTATCGTTATCACTTATCAGAGTTGTTTACTTGAACAAAGATTTTGTTAACATGATTGAAAAAAAAAATTCTGTGAAATCTTTCAAGATGCTATTAAAATATTTTCTTTTACAGTTTTTCAGTATGCATAACTTATTACATTTTTGTTTACTAAAAGCAAGAACATTCAAGAATAGTTCATGAACATTCCTAAATAACTTTTACAAATTATTCATGAATAGTTCATGAAAATACATTGAACCTATTAATATCATTCATGAACTTTTCTTGAAAGTTCATGAATATAATTCATGAACTTTTCTTGAAAGTTCAAGAATTATTCTTGATCATTTTGCAGGCATTTAAAAAATCCAAGTTTGTTCATGAACAACAAATAATTCTTGAATATTCTTGAACTTGGTTTTCATGAATAAAATCCATGAAATCATGAGTGTCCAATTTTAACTTCATGGGATCTTCATGAACAATTCATGAGCTGATTCAAGAATATAATTCATGAACTTTTCTTAAAAGTTCAAGAATTATTCTTGATCATTTCGCAGGGGATGGGCCTTATAGGTCACCTTAGTATCATGCAACAAATTTCCAACAATTGAATTTGATTCACGTTTTAAACCAGAGACCATGAAATTCACAATTTTGAAAGAGGCAGCAATGCTTATCATAACTATACATGAATATCATTTCGCAGGGGTAAGAGCCATTCTCTGTAACCACTTAAACTTTGTTGCCACGCATGGTCAATGATTTTGATGAAACTCACCCATTCTTAGTACTTGACCCCAGAAACATATCAAATAAAGTTTTGTTGCTATGTGTCTCGTTTGCCATGGTACAGCCAGAAAATTTTGAAAAATTGAGATACTTTTAATCTTTACTGAGCCTTAATTACAATACTTGGAAAAGCAAACAAACCAATCTCACAAAAACATGACACCTTGTTGCCACTTAAACTGTAAAGAAACTGTTTAAAATATATCTATGTAAGTGGTAACCAAAGGTACATTTTGAATACATTTAAATGCTGAAATATGCTGAAAAAAGCTCTGAGTTAGTATTCACTAATGATAGGTGTTACATGCTCAAACTCAATTAACAACTGAAGAAAAACAATGTAATTGCTTGACCTGAAGTATAGAAATATAAGCAATATAATTCTATAAATAACTTTTATGGTTGCCAAGGAAACACAGTGTAACCAAGTAAAATCAGTAACTAAGATTGGGTTAATGCTACGGTCTTGAGGAAAAACCTGAAAATTCAAGACTGGCAAATATGGATCCTTAGGACCTTGCAACAACAACACCTTCAGAAAAATTGGGATTAATTGCTACTTTGCAAGGAAACAAGGTATCAAGGTT